AAACGTCCTCAGGTCTCTTGATACTGTTCACTTTTATTGTATTTTTTTGCAGGAAGTGGATTGATAGTGTTCACTTTTATTGGCATAGGTAAGGGCATACATCCGGTGCCTTTTGAAATCTGTGGATATAGAGCACCAAAAAAAGTTTATTTACTCATCATTAACTAGTAATTTTACTGCACAGGACCTGTTATTTTGAAATTTATGCTTGGGGCTCCATTTGTGATTTGGCTCTTGATCTATAAATGGCGGAGAAGGAAATTGTCAATGTATAGCACCATAGAATATTTTCTGCAGGCTGATAACAACTTCATCCCAATAAGGTACTCTTACTCAGACATTAAGAAGATGACTGGTAAATTCAAGGATAAACTGGGTGAAGGTGGCTTTGGCACTGTATTTAAAGGAAAATTGCGTTTTGGAGCAATTAAGATTTTGGGCAAGTCTAAAGCTAATGGGCAAGATTTCATGAGCGAGGTAGCTACAATTGGGAGGATTCACCATGTTAATGTGGTGCAACTTGTTGGTTATTGTGTGGAGGGATCAAAGCGCTCTCTAGTCTACGATTTCATGCCCAATGGGTCGCTTGACAAATATATTTATTCAAAAGAAGGAAGTATGCCTTTAAGTTGTGATAAAATGTATGTGATTTCTCTTGGAGTGGCTCGAGGGATTGAATATCTGCATGAAGGTTGTGACATGCAAATTCTGCATTTCGATATCAAGCCTCACAACATTCTTCTTGACGAGAATTTCAACCCAAAGATTTCTGACTTTGGGCTAGCAAAACTATATCCGACAGATAACAGCGTTGTCTCTATGACAGCAGCTAGGGGAACATTGGGATATATGGCTCCTGAGTTGTTCTACAAAAATCTTGGAGGTGTTTCATACAAAGCCGATGTCTACAGTTTTGGAATGTTGCTGATGGAGATGGCAAGCAGAAGGAAGAACTTGAATGCCTTGGCAGAGCATTCAAGCCAAATTTACTTCCCTTCTTGGGTGTTCGATCAATATATCGAGGGAAAGGACTTGGAGATGGGTGATGTCAATGAAGATGAAATGAAAATAATAAGAAAGATGGTCATAACAGCCTTATGGTGTATACAATTAAAACCAAGTGATCGTCCATCAATGAAAAAAGTCATAGAGATGCTTGAAGGGCATGTTGAATACCTACAGATGCCTCCCAAGCCTTTTATGTGTCCACAACAGATGCTGATAAGGACCCTTTCATGTCATCAAAATATTCCAAATCCAGCATGTTCTACCTTGGAGCTAACAAGGACCCTTTCAGCTAGGTCATGATCAAATAGGCATGGACTCTGTTTTTTTTTTTTTTTTTGAACCCTAGACTCTGTTAACTAGCTTGGTAATGATCAACTAGTATGGAATCTGCCGTTTTGAACAAAAAAGAAACAGAGTGTATCACATTTGTAGACCACATTTATAACAGACTTGTTTCCTACAAAGCCGAAAATGGTGTTCAGAGTGTCAGAGTAATGAGGTATAACCTTCTGTTTTCCAAGTTTGAAGAGACACATGAATCAGTGTGTGCACGCCCAAACCACAATGATGTGAACTTAAATTGACCCAATTGTAAAATTTACAAATTACATTCACCAGTTGCTTCTGTTTTTCATCAAAGACTCTCCGACGGTCAACTCAATTGAAATTGTAGGATTTATTAATTGACCTTCGTGATGAAATTTTTCTAATGGAAGAGGCCAAAGGTCATGGAAGCAAAACGAGGAATCAAAAAACAAAGTTCAATCTTTCCCCCTATTTCATTAAATAAAAAGGTTCATTGGTTGCCTTTCTATGCATTTTAGAAAGTAGTCGCTGATGATTCAACATCCCAACCCCACCAACCTCTCAAAATTAATCTCTCAATCAACTGGGGTTGCACGGGGAGGGCCGAGATTTGTTAAACTCTTGTTTGTTAGGCTTCCATCTCCAACGCAAGATACTCTCTAAAATACTAGAAGAACAATATTTCTGCAAGACACATTATTGGGGAACTTTGAAACTTCAAGGATCACATGATGAAGCAAGCAGGACAACAGAAATTTTATGGAAGCTGGTGAAGGACTGTCATTTTCAAACTTGAAGCAAGATTGTTACACAATAGTTTATGTGCACAAGCGATGCATAATATTGGATTTGGCAGCCAGTGATTGTGTGGTAGGGTCATTGAAACGCCCCTATTTCTAAATTCTATGTAATGCTGGACCATTAGGCATGTGCTGGTCAAGTACATACATCAAGAACTATATGATCATAATTGATTGCATACATAAGTGTGTTTACATGTAATGATGTAATGTATAAGTACACATGTTACTCCAACTCAGGAATTGCTTCTAACTGAATGTTCAGATTTCTTGCAGCCGTACTTGCATTGGTTCCTGCAGCACCTGTAGAGGCAAAGGGATTGGGAGGCATGGTTAAGCTTTCTCCTCCTTCCAACATCTGAACCACGGCTTTCATTGAAGGGCGATTCACTGGATGCCATTGGATGCACCAGAGCCCTACAATTGCAAGTTTCTTTGGAATTTTCTGTTCTCCTTCTTCACCGATATGGATGCGTAGATCATCTCCTTCTTCTAGAAGATTATAAATCCATTGGGGATAGTAGATTTCATTTGTGTTCTCTGTGGCTGAACCGACATTCTTCCTTCCTCCTACCATCTCAAGCAGTAGCATTCCAAAACTATACACATCTGACTTATAGGAACACTTCAGGTGCAATGTAGCCCATGGTGCCCCTAGCTGTAGTCATTGACACTATGCTTTGATCCTTGGAACATAACTTGGCTAAACCAAAATCAGAAATCTTTGGAGTGAAGTTGTGGTCTAGCAAAACATTATGAGGTTTGATGTCGAAATGGAGAATTCGCTGATCGCATCCTTGGTGAAGATATTCAATTCCTTTGGCTATGGCTAGAGCAATATCTTGCATCTTTTCCCAACCAAGGAAACTGTTCTTTTTGTCTGGTGATGAAACGAAATCCTGCAGTGAACCATTTGGTGAGAACTCATAAACAAGAGCTCGTCTAAATCCATCAGCGCAAAAGCCAACCAAGCGAATGACATTGACATGGTGGATATGACCAATTGTTCTCACTTCATTGATGAACTCTTCCCCATCTCCCTTAGAACTATTGAGGACTTTCACAGCAACAAAGAGTTCAGAAGAAAGCTTTCCTTTATAAACAGTTCCGTAGGCTCCTTCCCCTAACTTGTCCTTGAAGTCATTTGTAATCCTCTTAATATCTGCATATGAATATCTGCTAGGTTTGAGAGCTCTGTAATCGTCTAAAAATCTTTCAATCTTTAATTGATGCTCTTTTTCTTTTCTATCAGAACTATAGACACGATAGGCTGCAAGGGCAAAGAGTAACACAACAAATGAACCCAGGGATGCACCTGCAAGGGAATCCTTTGTAAATATCACCACGATCTCATATATACAGATGAAACAAACTGCAACTTCAATTAAACAACTCACCTGTAGCCACCCATTTCCTTTTTTTACCTGAAAAAAAGAAAATACACTGTCAAATTAAGAATGAGATATTGCTTGGAAAATATCCCTTAAATAAACAGTGCTGCTACTTTGCTCCAAACTTCCAAATAAGTAAGCAAAAAGTGGATTGCAGATGATAATATCTCATTTCATGAATGCATTGTATTATTTGCGCATCCGCAGATAATTGACTAGTATAGCAGAATATAAAGAATCTGTAACAATTTAAATATATGTGAACCCATTAAATATATGTTAGCCAAGTTAACCTCGAGGACCACAAACACAAAAATAAAACAAGGATACAACTTGATAGATTCATCAACCTCAGGACTTTTTGCGATAAAAAGCCAATAAATAATGCTGCAAAAAGTGACTAGTATAGCAGAATATTAAGAATCTGTAATAAGTTAAATACATGTGAACCAAACTAAAATATATGTTAGCCATACCTGCTTTACTGAAGTCCACACATTCAATTTCACTTTTGGTGCCATTGTTCTTCAATCTACACATCTTCCCCTTTGCCTCACACTGTCCACAATTTGGTTCAGACCACTCCAAAAAAAGATTGGCAGTCTTGTATTGAAAATATAGAACTGAGGACAAATTATACATCTTTGTACAAGAAAGTAGAGACAAGGCCTCAATGCTGTAGGAAGAAGGAACAGAATAAACTTGGTAGCCAGGGCCGCTGAAGCAGGGGACTGGTTCTTGTAATTGCCACTCTGGTTCATTTAATTGCCTCTCAGCTAAGGAACAATTGAATAAGGTAAGATCAGTCATGTGATCTTTTGAGAAGTGGAAGGGAGAGATTGACTTGTTGAAGGGAGAGATTGACTTGTTGAAGACTTTCAAAAGCTTCTCCAGAAGACAGCCTTCTGGATCATATAATTGGACTGCCTGAGCTTTATAATCTATGCTTTTGACTGGGAATTTGAACGGAACTGGAAGCTCAAGAATTGTTTCATGCTTCTCATTGCATGACAGAACAAACCCAGGGAAGACACAGTGATCCGGGTGCCTGCCTTTGAGGCTGAAAGGGAAATGGACAGCTGGGCCTCTATCGCCACACTTCAATTTTTCACAGGTATCTTGGGGTTCTCCAAGCACTGTGGAGAAAGCCAGAAAGATTAAGCACAAGGAAGAGGTAATAATTTTTACCATATCTAAGGCTCATGGGTCAGAAAAAGAAAATGGTATCTAAATCTTTCTGTGACTCATATGTTCAATTAAGATGTTCTCCCATTATTCAATTAACCCAATCGTGTTTGGGATCTTACTAGGAAAAGAGAAAGAAAAGAAAAAAGAAATGTTTGGGATGAAAATACTATAAAAGTCAACAGTTGACTTGGAGGTCCCACGACATGTGACATTCTTGAAAACTATAAGACGCGGAATGAAAATAGCCAAATGCGTGTGGGGTTAGCATTACCTGGCCAAATGCGTGTGGGGTTAGCATTACCTGTCCGTTGACTGACTTTCGGACATCAATAATACCAATTTGAGTGGACAGTACAAAACTGATAGATATCTCCAGAACAGAACTTGTAAATCAATTCTCTCTCTCTCTCTCTCTCTCTCTCTCTCTCTCTCTCTCTATGGGAAGTGGAACAAGGCCCTTTACCTTGTCCTCATGGGTCTTAGTTGCAGCCTTGTTCGGTATTAACTTATTATCCAGTGAAATTTGTAGCGCTAAATATAATTACAGCTGTGCTTCTTCCTGCGGCAACATCCACAACATAAGCTACCCTTTTCAACTAAACCGTGATCCAGAGCACTGCGGGGACTCGAGGCATACGTTGCACTGCGACAACAACGTTACGGTATTGCACCTAAATTCTGCAAAATACTTGGTGCTGGCCCTCAACTACGATGACACAACGATCCGAGTCGTAGATCCTGGCCTTGAAAAGAACAATTGCTCCTCCATTCCTCGTTATCCTATAACCAAGTCTAACTTCAGTCTGGGGGATCTGTATTCTTCGTCAAGTCAGACTGTAACTTTTATCAAGTGTGCAAATCCAGTGAGTTCATCTCTCTACGTAGCGACTGCTCCATGCATTAATAATCTGAGTAGGACAGGTTATGTCAAGCTTGGCAGTACAGCGTCGGATTTGGAGGACGGGTGCAGTATAGAGTGGACGACTATGATGAGTAACTCCTTGTACAAGGAAAATTACCAAAACTTTTCTTACAGATACATACACAACGCTTTGATGTATGGCTTTGAGCTTAATTATCATGGCTTGGGTTTTGACTTTGTTAAATGTGGCCCACACCAATGGACCCCACTTGGTAATAAGTGTAAGACAGGTATGTCTTCATTTTTAGTCATATATATGTGTATACATTTATATATATCGAAACCTTCAATTGAGGGATTCTCAAATAAGGAACACCCTTACGGGCTCACACTCTGTATTGTATTTCAAAAATCGGAATAGTCTATCTTTTAGATATGTCTTCAAAGATCTTCTCAGTAAAAAATCACTTGAATTTGAAACTATTGGACCATTCAATTAATGGTTGTTATTTTTCTTGAAGCATTATGTTAGTCTATAAATGACAAACTAAATTTTATCATGGTACATAAATGTGATTTTTCTAGTATTATGACCATTAATTTAAAATTAAAGACCTGACTAATTTTTATGTTAACTTTTGTTGTATTTTTTCGCAGATTATGAATTTTTTAAAATTAAAGACCTGGCTAGTTTTTTTCGCTCAGGTAATAGCTTCTATTTCTTTAATTATTCAACACTGTATTTTTTGTATTTAGTCGAGTCTTTGATTGATTTTGTCGACTTTTGTCATATTTCTTGCAGGTCCATTGCGACTAATGGCACTAATAACCATTTACTTCGGTAAGAGCGAGCTTTTGTTATAGCAATTCAAATTTTACTTCTTACACTCCTTTACCACTCGCACATGAAGAGCCCATGAGGTAATTTAGGAGTAATTATAGAATGCCAAAATCATCACCCTAAATTGATTTCGAAAAAGGAAGACGATGAATTGCACAATAATTTACATAGCTATTTGATAGACACAGAGGATGTGATAAAGTGTGAAAGAGTGCGTCAAAAAGCTAGTCAGTTTTCTTTTCTGATGAATTTTTTTGGTAATGCTCTTGTGCAGTATCACATTTCATGGTAAATTTTATATTTGGGGCTCCATTTGTGATTGCATTTTTGATCTATAAATGGCGGAAAAGACATTCATCAATGTATAGCAGGATTGAAGATTTTCTACATAGTGATAACAATTTTCTGCCGATAAGGTACTCTTACTCGGACATTAAAAAGATGTCTAACAAATTCAAGAATAAGTTAGGTGAAGGAGGCTTTGGCACGGTATTTAAAGGAAAATTACGCAGTAAGTTACAACTGTGCTAGTTTTGTTTTTCTTTGTTATTGTAGGTATTTTGGATCAATTGAAGCTGATTTACGGTAAATGATCTTTCTTAAAGTGTTTTGTTTTTGTTTTTGTATTAAAAAAAGGGTACAAAGTCTTTTGTTTTTGTCTTTCTTCACTTTTGTTGTATTTTTGCAGATTATGAGGCGCAACTCTTTAGCTCAGGTAACAGCTTCTATTTCTTTTTTTGGTAAAAACAGCTTCTATTTCTTTAATTATTCAACACTGTATTTTTTTTTTTTTTTACTTTATTCTTTTTCCAAACATATAGTCAAAAGTCTTTGATTGATTTTGTCGACTTTTGTCTTATTGCTCGCAGGTGATCCATGGCCACGAATTACGCTACTAATAATCATTATCTTCGGTAAGAGCGTGTTTTAGCAATTCAATTTCACTTCTTACACTCCTTTATCACTCACACATGAAGAGCCCATGAGGTCATTTACGAGTAATTATAGAATGCCTAAATTGATAACGAAAAAAGAAGATGATGAATTGCACAATAATTTACATAGCTATTTGATAGACATAAAGGATGTGATAAAGTGTAAAAAGAATGCATCAAAAAGCTAGTCAGTTTCTGTAATTTTCTCATGAATTTTTTTTTGGTAATGCTCTTGTGCAGTACACATCTCGTGGTAACATTTATACTGGCTCCATTTGTGATTGCGTTTTTAATCTATACATGGCGGAAAAGACATTTGTCAATGTATAGCACGATCGAAAATTTTCTGCATGGTGATAACAATTTTCTGCCGATAAGGTACTCTTACTGGGACATTAAAAAGATGTCTAACAAATTCAAGAATAAGTTAGGTGAAGGAGGCTTTGGCACGGTATTTAAAGGAAAATTACGCAGTGGCCGTTTTGGAGCAATTAAGATGTTGGGCAAGTCCAAAGCTAATGGGGAAGATTTCATTAGTGAGGTAGCTACCATTGGAAGGATTCACCATGTTAATGTGGTGCAACTTGTTGGTTATTGTGTTGAGGGTTCGAAGCGCGCTTTAGTATATGAGTTCATGCAAAATGGATCTCTTGATAAATACATTTATTCCAAAGAAGGGAGTAACTTGCTGAGTTACAAGAAAATGTATGATATTTCGCTTGGAGTAGCTCGAGGGATTGAATATCTACACCAAGGTTGTGACATGCAAATTTTACATTTTGATATCAAGCCTCGTAACATCCTTCTTGACGAAAATTTCGTTCCAAAGATTTCTGACTTTGGGCTTGCGAAATTATATCCTACGGATAACAGTATTGTCTCGTTAACGGCAGCGAGGGGAACAATGGGTTACATGGCTCCTGAGTTGTTCTACAAAAATATTGGTGGCGTCTCATACAAAGCTGATGTCTATAGTTTTGAAAAGCTATTGATGGAAATGGGAAGCAAACGAAAGAATTTAAATGCACGTGCAGAGCATTCAAGCCAAATTTACTTCCCCTCATGGGTCGATCAGTATAAGGAGGGAAAGGAGTTGGAGATGGAGGATATAACAGAGGAAGAAAAGAAAATCGTAAAAAAGATGGTTATAACTGCCTTGTGGTGTATTCAATTGAAGCCAAGTGATCGTCCGGCAATGAACAAAGTTATAAAGATGCTCGAAGGAGATGTTGAAAGCCTACAAATGCCTCCTAAGCCTTTTCTATGCCCTCAAGAGATGCCTGTAGATATTCATGATAATTTGAACCATACATGTTCTAACGTAGAGGTGACATGTACTCTGTCACCTAGGTGATGATGAGGTAGCAACTTTTGCAATTATTTTTTAAACACTCTCCAGCACTTGTGCAGCGTTTCTCTACTTGTTTTCTTGGTTCTGATGTTGGGTTTTCGGGTAGTTGTTTTTCGTGTGGGTGTCTAGAGTAGTGTTGGGCTCCTAGATTAGTTTTCTTGGGTGTCTAGATAAGTTTGGGTTCTCTATCTAGTTTTTTTTTTTTTTTTTTTTTCCCGAACTGCTCTATCTGGTTTCAGTTTCTGCATTTTAGTATGTTCTTATGTACGGAGCTTCATTTTCATTGAATTTCTCATTTACGGAAAAAATAAGAACTCATGCTGTTTTGATGTATTTGATTCAGGAACGAGTACTATTTTTAAAACACTAAACTCTTGCCACTTTGTCTTCTTCTTTTTTTTCTTTTTTTTTTTGGGAATCAAGTTTCATTAATAAAAAGTCAATGATGATGTATAGAGAAACTCAAAAAAAATGAGTTCAAACACTAAAAAAATAAAACTCAAAATAGGCATAACACCTACAACTGGCATAAAGTCATATTCCAAAACAGGCATCAAATCAGAACCAACCAAAAACATAAAGCGCACAAATAGCAAATGCCCATAATAGATAAAAGCCCAAAAAATACAACATTGCCTTAAGAAACTCTAAGACAAATAAGATACATGCGCCGTGCACAATCCAACAGCCACAAGCCTCACAACCAAACTAAGTTGATAACCACCAAAGAGAAACTAGTAACCAATGAAAAATGGTGGTGGGGAAGCCACCCACGCTACAACAAGTACAACGAGCAGTGATACCATAATCCAAGCAATAAGTGCTATTTGCACTTTAAGGGCATCCCAAACTCCAAAGGTGCCATCGAGGAAAACCGACAGGAGAGACATATCTAGAGTCAATGAGTCAATGATAGTTGTTGAGATTCAACGATAACACGCAGCCTCCGGCGATAAGGAGAGAAAAAGCATAGCAAAACTTGTAAACACACCACCCCGAAAAAACCGGTAATTTCGCCTAAAACAAAAAACAACCAAGTTAAGAGGAAAAAAAAAAAGAAAAAGAAAGAAAACGACTCTGCAAAGCAGTAACCCAAAACGTGGAAGAGGAAGAAAGAGAATGAAAAAGGGAAAGATGGAGGAAATGGGGAGGGACCAGGGCCAAAAAAAAAACAACAGGAACTCTTGCTTTTGTACGGAGCTTCAATTTAATTGAATTTCTCATCTATCGATAAAATAAAAAGAACTCTTGCTGTGTTCTATCAATAGTATAAGCTTATTTTTAAACACTAAACTCTTGCCACTTTGTCTTATTTTCATTTCAAATTGGAGCGCTTGCTTAAGGGTTTAAATTCCACAACTTATGGGAGTTTAAATTTCACAAACTATGAAATTTATATGGTTTGACAATCACAGTAGAAGCTGAAATATACATATACGTACATGTTACTCTATTAAGCAATTGCTTCCAACTCTAGGCGTTTTGCAGGGATGCTTGCTTGTGTTGTTGTAGGACCCGCAGAGACAAAAGGATTAGGGGGCATGGTCATGTTTTCTCCTCCTTCCAACATATGAACCGCTATTTTCATAGACGAACGATCCACTGGGTGCCACGGATGCACCACAGCCTTACAATTCACTACAATAATATTGAGCACTAATCACTAATATTGCACTCACATAACATATTAGTTGCAGTTGTCCCTTAAAAAGGTGAAATGTTACTGTTCATATGATGACCAAAATATTAAGACTATTTATTAGTTTATTTTTATGTAACCAACAGATGAAAAGAGGCTAGACATGTGGCTCTTGTGGTTATGCAACTAATTCACCTAGAAACTAATGGGTAGTATGTGGCTATTGTTTGTTCAAATTTCTCACAGGTGAATATTCGCGGGTTGATTCTTTGATATTTGATCTTCCTTTTCTCTCTTCCTTGATCCCTGCGAATTAAATAGGAGTAAATAGACCACACCCGGGTGGTGTTGACCAAAGGTCCTCCGATGCCTAAGTTAGTTCAATTGGATCTTTGAGAAAAGATACGACAATAGCTAAAATGGATTGAGTTTTCTCTCACTAGGCAAGTCGGGTGGCCTTAGTTGTGTGTGTGGTGGTGCTTAGCCGTGTGAGGAGAGAGAGATGTGTTGATTTTATGCTTTTTAAGTTTTTCTTTTGACTTCCCTTGACAATATTGTAATAGGACATACATTGTACTTACCCAAGCTCAAGTTTAGATTAATAATTGTTTCTCTAAGTGTTCTTATCTGGCTGTTATCTTATGGAGGATCAATCAAATTGACAAAGATAATTTGTGCATATCATCCATTAGAATTCTTAAGATTTTGACTAGTCATCTTGTTTTCATATGATTAGTCATCCTCTGCATCAGTAGGATTTCCAGATGGATCCTAACAAACCTTTTTGTCCTATTCTACAAATTTTCTTAGCTTGTCATGTGTACTATTCTGACCTAGGAATTTTTGGGTAAAAGCCCATTGATTCCTCATTTGGTAGCTGTAAACTTTGAGGTAAGGTTTTGAAAATATTTTTGCTACCTTTTTGCTCTCCTTCCTCAAGAGAAAACGATCATTTTCATCTATGAGTTTTCTAAATTGATTTTAAAAAATTGCTTTTGAAATATGAAATCTGCATCTAGCTAGAACAAACACATTCTCATATACATCTAGGTTAGATTAAAGATTGGTTTCTTCAAGAAATTGGTCATTTCTCCTTGAATCCATATTGTTGGTTTCTGTTCGAGTTTGAGCTGGCTAGCTGGTGCCATGGGATGAAAGAGCTGAAGAAGGAGCTGCCATTGCCATGAAGGACTAAGCTGCTAGCATTGCTAAGTTGGAGAAGAAGATTGCACAAAGGAAGTATAGCTTATCTTCCTAAATAGACCTAGGATTTCTTGAGCTTGCTTGAGTTTCTTTATAAGAATCTTCTTTGCTTAGTGGATTGCTTGGTCAATTGATGACCTTCAATTTTCCCCAATAGTGGGTTTCTGGGTAAACAATTTTCTGGTTTGTAGTTTCGTTATTTTCTAGGTTTGTGTTCTTGACTAGTCATCGCATAATGCTCATGCATATGGATTTGTGTTCGTGTAGTTGACTAGTCATCATTATCTGCTATTTGCTGTTTATTTGATTATGATGTATTCACACAATTTCACCATAGTTGTTGCTAGCACAGGGGATGCCTAGATTGACGGGTCATTTTGAGTGCCTAGGTTGTCACTAGTAATCTTCTAGGCTTGCATGTGTAGATTGTTATGCTTTGTGTGTGTGATCTTGGTTATGGTTTTCATGACTAGCAGTTGACTAGTCATAATTATATTTGGTCAAGTCTTAAAGTGTGTGAATATTGTTGTATCTGTTTGAATAACATTTAAATTTACCCCTCGTCACCTAAGTACCAATTTCAATTGGTATCAGAGCATCAGCTCTTAACACAAATAGAGAGATCCTAGGATTTGTTTTGGTGTTTAGGTGTGCTCACTATAGAAAGGGAACAAGTTGCAGGATTTTGTAACTCCCCCCTTTTCTTTGATGGAAATAATTATGCTGCATGGAGAGAAAAAATTGAGATATTGCTTGATGCTTTTGATGAGTATGCAAATGAATATCTCACAACAGAGTGGTTACCTCCAGTCAAGACTGTTGAGGGTAAAGTCGTGCCCAAACCTAGGATCCGAATGGACTGAATCTGAGTCATTTGCTACACATTCCAACAAGAAGGCCAAAAATGGCTTAGTTACAGCCCTGTCTAGCACACAATTCTCACACATACAACACATTCCTAATGCTAAACAGGCTTGGGACAAACTAAGGGTTGTTCACAAAGGAGATGACCAAGTTAGAACACTGAAACTTCAAATGGTGCTTGCACAATTTATAGAACTTAGGATGTTTGAAACTAAGCCTATTTCTGAGTTATATGGGAGAGTTGAGATGATCATGAATGAAGCCATGAGTCTTGGTCAACCTATTGAAGAACTTCTTATTGTTCAGAAAATTCTTCGTGTTCTTCCTTCTATGATTAGAGCAAAGAAAACCGCAATCATGGAAGTCCATAACTTAAATGAAATTAAGCTTGGCAAGCTTGTAAGTAAATTGAAAACCTATGAGATGAAGTTGAACATGGAGGAAAATGACACTAAAAATTAAAAATAAAACATTTGCACTACAAAGAGTGCATGATACCTCATTGAAAGATGGTGAAAAATCCTCAGCTTCTGAGGATGAGATAGCTTTATTTGTCAAAAAATGTAGAAGAATTCTCAAGGATAAAGGGAAGTTTGCACGAGATGATAGTTCTGAAAGTGAGAGAAAATTTAGACCATCAACTGATCGGTCTAATGAGCGAAACAAGGATGTCAAACCCTTCACTAAAGGGAAGTTGGGCACTATACTACCGATTGTGCAAACAACCAGAAAAAAATACTCCAAAGAAAAGGACAAAGCCATGAAAGTAAGCTGGAGTGAGAGTGAAAGTGATGTATCTCAAGAGGATTCATCTTCTTCTTCTGTTGATGACCAACAGATTGCCTTCGTTGCCTCTGTGCAACTGTTGTCAGATAAATCTGGTTCTAATTCAGATGACCAATCATATGAGTCCTTAGGAAGAAAATATGATTGTTTGTTCAAAGAGACTTTTTCCTTGAAAGATGAAAATCTCAAACTTGAGGCCAATAACCATGAACTCCAACATAAAGTTTTCACTTTAAAAGAAACCAAAAAGGAGTTGAGTGACAAATTTGAGTCCCTAGAAAATGAAATTGTTGAGCTTGTGTCAATTAGGAGAAATCTTGAAAATCAAGTAAATATGCTAAATGAGAGCAGTATTGGTTTCTAAAATTCAAACAAACACCTCCTAAGTGAATTGAATGAGGCAAAAGGTAAGGTTATATCGTCGACCATTGGTGCCTCAAAAATTGACAAAATGTTGAATATGGGAAAACTTCATGGGGACAAAGGTGGTCTTGGATATAATCACTTTGATTCTAGTGCGTCTAGTTCTACCACTAAGTTTGTCAAGTCTACAACTCAAGTCATTGCACCACTTGATATACAACATGTAGTCAAGAAACCAAAGTTTGTTCGAACATGTCACAAGTGTGGGTTGACTGGTCATATTCGACCAGTCTGTCATATGTACAAAAGAGATCATACCAAAAAATTATCTTCCGTGTCTAGAAGGAATCCCAGATCTTTGCAAGATCAGGTTGATCATTTGCTTAGTGAAGTAACTAAGATTGCCAAACTTGTCTCTCTTAAAATGAATTCATCCATTGTGCCTAAATCTACTTGGGTTGCAAAAGGTTAAACCAAAAGTCTTCTTGTACTAAATGCTTTAGCTGCATCAAACACCAATGCTTGGTACTTTGATAGTAGCTTTTCCAAGCTTATGTCTGGTGATAAGAATGTTTTCTCATCTCTCAATCCTTTTGATGGAGACACTGTGACTTTTGGTGGAGGTCACAAGTCTCAAGTAGTTGAAAAAGGTAATGTTTGTATCCCTGGTTTACTCGAGCTTAAGAATGTTAGATTTGTTGAGGTTCTCACATCCAATCTCATTAGTGTAAGTCAGTTGTGTGATGAGTGAGTACTGGAAGTTAGATTTTTCAAGCATGGCTGCAAAATTATTGAAAAAGGTGGAAATCAAATTGTTAGTGTGGCAAGATCAAGGGACAATTGCTACTGCGTGGATGGAGTTGATGATACAAAAGAAGTGGTTTGCAATAAGGTAGTGAATGAAACAAGTGCCTTGTGGCATCAAAGACTAGGACATGTGAACTTTAGAGACTTGCACAAATTGTCCAAGAGAGAGTTAGTGAGTGGTCTACCAAAGCCTGACAAAACTAATCAACATGTTTGTGAAGGATGTCAATTGGGCAAGCAAGTTAGAGTGTCACACAAGAAGGTCAAACACATTCAAACGAAAGTAAGTTTAGAACTTGTTCACATGGACCTTGTTGGTCCTATTCAAACGTTGTCCTTCGGTGGCAAGAAATATATTCTACGTTAGATCTCACTCTTGCATGAAAAATCAGAAACATTTCAAAGGTTTAAATATGTCTGCCATCTTTTACAAAAAGAGAAGATGACTAGTTATCTCCCTCTTGTTAGAATTAGAACAGATCATGGTTCTAAGTTTGAGAATTCTCAGTTTTTGAAATTTTGTGAGGAGATGGGGATTAAACATGAGTTCTCTACAACTATTACATGGTGTTGTGGAGAGAAAGAATAGAGTCCTTGTTGAGATGGCTAGGGTAATGCTGAATAGCAAAAACCTTGCTAAACATTTTTGGGCTAAAGCTGTAAATACAACTTGTTATATCTCAAATAGGGTGTTTTTGAGGTCAAGTACCAAGCAAACACCCTATGAGCTTTAGAAAGGGAAGAAGCCTGATGTGTCTTATTTTAGAGTCTTTGGTAGCACATGTTATATCTTAAGAGATAGGGAGCACCTTGCTAAGTTTGGCTCTAAAACTGACAAGGGGATATTTCTTTGTTATTCCACTTCAAGTCAAGCCTATAGAGTGTACAACTATAGGACCATAACCATCATTGAGTCCATAAATGTCAATGTTGATGATTTTGCTGCTTCTACTGAGATGGCATTAGATAAGGATGGTATTTTACCTCCTATGCTCGAGGGAGAATCTCTAGTTCTGGATCTAGTGGTTGACCTGTTAACTTTTAGCAATTATGTCCCTGTTGACCTGTCAACTTTTAATAATCAACCTCAAAATTCTAGCTCATCTGTCCAGGTTGACAACTCACGTGCTGATTGTAGTCCTCTCACTCAAACAAAGAGTGTCATTATTGGTCCTCTTAATTTGGGAGTGAGAACTAGGAAACAACTAACTAAGGAAATTAGCTATGTGTGTTATATCTCAAAGGAACAACCTAAGAATGTGAAAAGAGGCCTTGAACCATGGTGAATGGTTTCTTGCAATGCAGGAGGAGTGGATCCAGTTTGTTACAAATGATGTTTGGTACCTCGTTCCTAGACCAATCAACACAAATGTTATAGGTACTAAGCGGATTTTCAAAAACAAAATAGATGAACAAGATAATGTGGTAAGAAACAAGGCTAGATTGGTTACTCAAGGTTATAATCAAATGGAGGTAATTGACTTTGATGAAACCTTTGTCCCTGTTGCAAGGTTAGAATCAGTGAGATTACTTCTTGCCATTGCTTGTCACTTGAAGTTTAAACTTTATCAAATGGATGTCAAAACTACTTTTTTGAATGAAGAGGTTTATGTTAATCAACCAAAGGGTTTTGAAGATCCACATCATCCAAATGATGTGTTTAGGTTGAAAAAGGCACTCTATGGTTTGAAACAAGCTCCTAGAGCATAGTATGAGAGGCTATCCTCTCATCTTTTAGGAAATGACTATGTTAGAGGGTTGGTTGACAAATCCTTGTTTGTAAAAAGGTTCAAAAGAGATGTTTTGATTGCTAAGTGTATGTTGATGATATTGTGGTTGGTTCTACCTCTGATTTGCATGTTCAAGAATTTATTCATGTTATGACTAGTGAATTTGAAATGAGTCTTGTAGGTGAGCTTAATTATTTCTTAGGTCTTCAAATCAAACAAAGCCATGATGGGATCTTTGTTTCTCAATCCAAATATGCAAAAAATCTTGCGGAAAAATTTGGTTTGGAGGCTGCAAAATCTGCAAGAATCCAATGAGCACTAGTGCTAAAGTTCATAGAGACTTACATGGGAAAAGTGTCAATCAAACTCTTTTTTTTGGGTCGAATCAATCAAACTCTTTATAGAAGCATGATAGGAAACCTACTCTACTTGATTGCTAGTAGACCAGACATTTCTTATAGTGTAGGAGTTTGTGCTAGGTTCCAAAGTGATCCCAAAGAGTCTCATTTGTTTGCTGTCAAGAGAATCATAAAATATGTGAGTGGAACTATTGATTTTGGGTTGTGGTATACCTATGACACTAGTGTCAATCTTGTTGGGTACAGCGATGCTGATTGGGCTGGTTGTAGTGATGATAGGAAGAGTACTTCTGGGGGAGTCTTTTATGTTGGCAACAACCTTGTTTCTTGGCATATCAAAAAACAAAATTCTGTGTCATTATCCACTGCTGAAGCAGAGTATGTTGCAGCTAGAAGTTGCTGTACACAACTCCTCTAAATGAAACAGATGTTGGAAGACTATGGTCTTTCTCAATCATCCTTCCTAATCCACTGTGATAACATGAATGCAATCGATATTTCCAAAAATCTTGTTCAACACTCTAGAACAAAGCATATATACATTAGGCATCATTTTATTAGAGATCTAGTGGAAGACGACATTTTGACATTAGTGTTTGTTCCCTCTAAGAAACATCTGGCATATATACTCACCAAGGCCTTGGACTTTCATAAACATGTCACACTCAGACAGTCCATTGGCCTTTGTTCAATTGATTGATTAACATGTCTATTCCTTGTCTTCAGCACATTTCAAAACTGTTGACTAGTCATCTTACATGTAGTTGACTAGTCAAGTCTAAAAAATGTTTTTACTTGATATGCAATTGTCTAACACCTCTCTCTCATCTCTGATGGTGTGAAGTTTGAATGATTTTGTGCTTTGCCTAATTTGTGCATAATCCCCCTTCTTTTTTTGAGCTATTATCTTATCCTCTTGGTGACTTTGGACAGTCATTGTCAGTGTCTCTTATCCTATCTCACTCTCTTAGCCAATCTATTTAATTCAAAAAAAAAAGAAATCAGGGAAGTGTGACCAATGTAGTCACGGCTCTAGGAAGGTATAAGGTGATATGATTGAAGCATATGGAGCAAAGAGCTGTAAAATTGGGCACTTAAGCACTTAAGTCTGGGATGTGCAAATGAAACAAAAAAATAATCAACAAATATTTTGTCAACAGAGAGTGATGATACTTAAAATTTTTGAGCATATACTCTAAGTCATCAAGTGTCATTGTGTACTTGTATCTCCAAGAGAGATAGGATATCATCTCTTGTGTTCCTTGGCTCTGAACCTCCTTATTCCAAAATATGCCTTTCTCTGAGGATGAAATGCAATTCATATTCTATCTCTCAGAGTTGGGTATAAATGTGTGTCGAGAGGGGTGACGGCAAGGGGAGAGAGAGAGGTTTTTTGGTAGGGTTTTGGAATTGAGATTAGAATTTAGAATTACCTTGAATGTCTTGTGTAGCTATGTATTTACAGTCTCCTTGTGTGCTAGGATTTTGGGAGAACAATCCTTATTTGGTTAGGATTATTCTTCCCCAAAAGATTATAGAAATTACTCCAAGAGATTTGGTGGCCATTAGTTCATTAATTTAGGGAGATATTCCTATCTTAAACCAAACATAATTTCTCTAATTAAATAGAATTTAATTAGGGTAATTAGTTGTCCTAAGGAATATTCCTTTTTCACGTGTCGTCTTATTATTGGTTGGAGAAATTTATGTTTCCACAATGCCCCCCAACTTCTGCATGGCACTCGGAGGCATGGAGGAGATAAAAAATATTTATCGAGCTCTCCAACTGCATATGGGCTTTCTTATTTGAGTTGCCTTTTGCTAGTTGGGCTCCTAATTGGGGTAGGCTTTTGACTTCTTCTTGGAGTTGGGCTCCCAATAGGAATGGGCTTGTGATTCCTCCTTGACCTAGGATGCCCAACCCTTATAAATACAAAGCTTTTTTTCACCCCTCTTCAAATTGCAAACTTGTCATCCTCTATTTTCTAACTTGTGAGAGATATATTAAAGGAGTGTACTGCTTGTCGAGGAGAGGATTCGTCGTGCACACCAAGGTAGGCTGAATTTTTTTTTCTTCGCAATGAAGACCAGCTAGGTGGTCCCGGCTAGTTGTCGTCATGACCGACACTGGCTGCCTTGAATTCGCTTTTTTTTCCCCCGTTTTGCTCGTAGCGTGAACTAGCTGGGTGGGCCCGGCTAGTTGTCATCGCCACGTGGTGACTAGAGCGATGGTGGCGGGAGTGGCAGTCGCTGGCAGTGGCTACTACCGCTACCGCACTGCAGCTAGAATCGCAACTCAGAAAGACGGTGATGGTCTGGGCTGCGCTGCTGCTTGGACTGGTGCTGGCGTTTTTCGCTAGGCTCCTGTCGACAGCTGTTGATTGCTGTCAGTAGCTGCCGATGGTGGCTGGCTGCCTCTTTTTTTTGTGCCGCAATTTAGGATTTTGTCACGGTATCTAACTTCCAATTTTCTTCCCTCTTTGCAATTATCCACTGACCATGTGTTCCGATGATGGTAGCCAATCACTGAGTTCACAATTGCCTTTGTACATATGGGGTGGTTCCAAGGTGCACAAGAAGAGATTCGTTGCTAATCTGCATCATGTTACCTCCGAGGCTCACTTCTAAAAGTGGCGTGCCACCTATGCTTCTGCCATACTCAATGATATGCATGTCAAGCTAGCGGCGCATTCGACTGAAGATGTGCGTTGTGTGGATGAGGACTATCCGAATGCCAGAATTATCACATTTCATCCCTTCTACTACTCTTTAGGCTTCACATTCCCATTGTCGAAGTTCTTCAAGAAGGTGTTATCTGCCATGGAGTGTGCCCCAAGCCAATGTACTCCGAACATCTATTGGGCAATCATGTGTTTTGAGAATATGAGCCGTTTCTTCAAGCTAGATTTGATAGTGCGGGAGTTCTTCTACTTCTTCAAAGTGAGGTCCTAGAAGTATGCCAAAGTCCGTATATCCAAAGCCAAGCTATTTGACAGTCTCAGCCAAGAAAATCGTGTATGGTACGCCTATGTGTTAGAGGTCAACGGATGGTGGGAAGGCAAAAATTTCTATTGATTTGCTTCAATTTTGACTTAATTCTTTGATGTGTGAGTAACTTACTTCTGTCTTCTGCTTGCAGAGAATGATATCAGCAATAAGCTGGATTTCGAGCAGGACATGGCTAAGGTCTGTCTGGTCCTGAACATCCAAGCGAGGTTTTGTGAATGGCGTTGGTTGTTGAGCGAGTATCAGAGGAAAGTTGGTGGTTTGCCCCCTGCTAAGGATGTCGAGAGATGGAAGTAGTATGGCCCAGACTCGGATGATCTGCCTCCAAAATAGTCAAATATGGAGCTGATTCAACGTCGTTGACTCCTTTAGAGGTGAGGATGACGACGGCTAAAAAGGTCAAAGAGTCATCTACTCGGGCGAAGAGTTCTTCGGAAACGCGAACAGCTAGTCCCAAGGTTGACAAATCCAACTCCACAGAGGATGCATGCGTTTTTTGATCTGCTCAAGACTAACTTTTTGTCAAGCCCGTCTGCTTGCATCAAATTGGTTAATCATATCCATCTAGCTGGTGATTGTTGCGTAGATACAGCTGCACCAAAATGGATTCAGCTGCATCCTCAACTTGTGATACTCGCAAGTGCACGAGCCGTTCGGTAGTATA